ACACACACACACACACACACACACACACACACACACACACACACACACACATGCACACACAAACGCACAGATGGTCCCCATTACCTTGCTTTCTTTGTGCAGCCACAAGTATGCTAGCCCTCACTGTGGTCAATTTGGCAGTTAAGATCAAGATAAAAGAACAATCGTGTAAACACGGGGTAACTTGGTGGGCTCCGGCAGTTTAGAAAAGTGCGTGTGTGTTTATTTGAAGTGAGGGGGTGTGTATTGTCTCTGTTCTCTGCATAGTTGTTGTCATGTGGTCTGCAGCAATGCTCTCTATGTTTCTGTACAGAGAACAAAATAGCACACAAAGGCTGTTTGCCATAATAATATTTACTCCTGCATATGTGTGTGTTTGCATGTGGCCAGGCAAACACAGACGGCTGAGCACATATGCGTTCGTGTATGTGCTTTGCACCAATTGGCATATTTGTGTGAAACATAGATGTGTGTGTCATACATTTTTTTAAGGCTTCGTGGCAGAGGTGCAGTTGGACAGTGGGAAGCAGAAGCAGAAGGAGTCTATCAGGAGGACTCTGTTCCTGGACAGCCAGCAGCCCAGCCTAGTGAAGACCTTTAACCTCACCAACAGAAAGCCCCTGTGTCACAACAGCAATATCTATCTGCGGGTCAGTCACACAAGCTGTGTTTGCACCTTGAGGTCAAGCAGTTTGAGCGAATGTTTTCCATTTGATTTTTTTAGCAAACCTTTTGTTTTGGTCAGGTAGAATTTATTTATCTAGTCAAACTAGAGAAGATATAGGACCCCTTGTGACTAGGAAAAATTGCCCAATGATTCCACTGAATGCTTTTGAGGGGAAATCGCTGCAAACCAACTGGTCGCCTAGAGGTTGAACATACAATACCCTCAGTTACTGAGTAGCCACTTTTCATGTCAAAGGAATTGCACAGGAAGCAACCTGTCTCCAAACTGTTGTGGTCTGATTGCAATCACGTTCAGGTTCTCCATTGGCAAAGGCTTGCAAATAACATGTTGCAGTTGCAGTCTGCACTGCACAGATCTCTTTGTAATAGGATACTTCACTTAACTGGTTACATTCCTGTATAAAAGAGACGTTTCTGAGCGCCCATGTCATTATTTCTGGAGAAAAGTCTTCATTTCTGTTTCAAAGTAGTTAATGTGAAGTTCTGCTTAATATGAATTTCTGTATATGTAGATGATAACAGATTTACAAGATGGGAAAGTATTTCTGATTTTTACCATATTTGTATTTATTTTTTTTATTTGACCTTTATTTATACAGGCAGTCCCACTGAGACTCAACGTCTCATTTACAAGAGAGACCTGTTTCAGACAAACATATTAAAATTACGACAACAAAGAATAGCCTAATGTTTACACAGTCATTTCAAAAAGAGGAACAAGTTCCCATAGTGATGATTTTACAAGGTAATTTTTTCATTTTTTTTTAAATCTGCAACTGAGAGAGCTGCGAGTCCTTCTGTAATGCATCCAATGAGGACTGGGCAGAAAACGAGAATGCCTTCTTTCCAAGTTCTGTAAGAGTCTGATAAATAAGAGGGGAGTAAACCACAAATAGATTTATAGATAAAATTATACCAATGAGCCATCCTGTGTAGGGCCAGTGGGAAGCAGTCAGCCAGAGAACAGAAAGTACAGTGATGTGTTAAAAGTTTACAACCAGTTAGAAATCTTAGTGCCCCGTGATATCATGATATCATGCAAATTATATCATGTTATCCAGGAGGGTTAAAAAGGTGGTAGCAACGAGCCCTTTCCCTGCCGTGAAAGAGAAACACGATCGATTTTGGGAATATAAATAACTGTAACTCATCATATTATCACAGTTTGTGAGTAAACGCCAACTTCAGTTGCAAACTGATAACCGACTTACTCAATCTTAAAACTGTTTTATCACCGTAGCACAACTGACTGCTAATGTTCACAGAGCTGCTGTTCATCAGCAACAAGACTGCAAGTTCTTTGTACTCTGTCACAATAGTTTTGGTTGTGCTGCTGTGTCCAGCCACTGTGTGACTGTAACATGAGGTGCTCCTCAATGAATAAGAAATGAATGAAGCTAAATAATTAGCATGATTGCTTATAAAGCATTCATAACTTGATTTGGAGCCTCTGAAAAGTACAAAAATGCAGTGAAATACATCCATGAACCGAATAATTCAGCAACAAAAACTTAATTTTTATTCTGTGACAACAATATAAAGCAAGAAAGACCTCAAGCTCTTTCTCTTACCTTTCTGAATCTTTCTCTTGAGTCTCATTCTAGTTTCTCATCAAATACAACTAGTTCAGATGGTCATCTGGAGCTTTGGCGCATGCCGTTCCCCTGATCTCTTTCACCACATTCCTGTCAATTTGTACCACAAAAAAAGAGGGAGAGAAAAAAATGACACGTGTTTTATGACAACCACTAGTAAGATTACTGATCAGTATTTCTTATGCATGTACGTACTGAAAGTTGGTACCATAGTTAACATATAAAAAATATTTAAAAAGGACAACATATCTAACAAAAGTTAACATAAACAGTGAATCTGAATCATTCATGAGCTTTGCAGATCTTTTGTAAGGAATGAAAAACATTTAATAATTTAAAGGCTAAAAGATATGCAAATTGCATTTTGGTGAGGAGATATTGGCTATAATGATAAGTACACCCAGCAATTTTCAGATATAAACACACGCAGGGACAGAAATGTACTTTCAGGCAGAACTATGATAATAAGCCTGCAAACAGTCGCTCATATTTCATGCTGTCATCTGGGCAGGAGAACAAGCACACATCATTTACAAACATGAAAGTAATTGTGCAAACAGCCCTTATTCTTCAGACCAACCATTTCATAAGTATGCTTTTAATAATTTTTGCAAATTTTCTACTTCTTAATGTTTGGAAACGACTCCAGCCCTGCTGCTTTTCATTGGAGCCGTCTAATCAGAGACTGGTTTGCACCTGCAGAACCAGGTGAATGCACTTAACTTTCGGCTAATACCGAGGTTGAAGTCATTTCCTAATAACAGGGTTTGAAGTTGCTGTTTGAAGTGCTACGTGAGGTGAAACTGCTTCAGTACCAATCCTCTCATCACTTAGTGGTGACCTGATCAAAGATTGTGCCTGACAAAGGCGCTTATGTCATACGTGTGGATGTTCACTGTAAGATATAATGAGCAGAGCACTTTGGTCTCTGACAGGATAAGAGACCAGAGTAGAAACTGACAAACATGCACTCATGTCAGTCAGCACTTATCTGTCTGTGTACTCTGTACTCTTTCTTTAAAAGAGCCACATCATTGTGTTTATGCAAAGGGAATTCAGGCAACATGATATTAACTTTAAACACACTCAGGCCATTTTAAAGGTAATATTACTTTAAAAACTAACTTGTTATATCACTGCTGTTATAATATCAAAATCCCTTTCAATTTAGCTTAGCAATTTGGGTCAGTTCATCAGTTGTGTGCATTATAACCTCTGGTTATATTGACTTTACCTCAGTGTATAATAAGTTGACATTGTCAGCCTCTCCTTTAACCCCTTAACCTGTGTGTTTCATGCTGTTTTAATTTTAATTCTTTGTGGGGGGTTTTCATGCTTCTTGCTTCGTCCACCTTTCAAAATCAAACTTCAAATCATCCACTTATAGACACCATCAACCACATCAAGCTGTTGGTCATTTGAATGACTGCATATGTTGTATACCCAGAATCCTTCACTCTATGTGGTTGAACACTGAAATAAGCGAATACAGGTTTGAATCCCCCATTAGCCAAACTAAAAGCTAGCTAACAGTATCACTGGTATTTTGTTAGCTAACCTAAAAGCTAGCAAGCAGTAGCACTGGTATTTTGTTAGCTAACCTAAAAGCTAGCTAGCAGTAGCACTGGTATTTATTTTCCTTCTCAGCACAAGTTTTATGGAGTTTAGCTTGCAGGGGGTTATTGTAAATGTCAGGTAAAGATCCTTAACTTACATATATCCTATAAATACTCTAAAAGCAGTAAAAAAAAAAACAATCAATCTGCATCTACTAAAACTGATTTCACTCACACAATTTATGTTTTTGCATAGTGCCAATTCAGAACAACAGTTGCCTCAAAGTGCTTTATACTATAAGTCTTATAGTATAAGATAACCAACAGTCCGACTGACAATCCCTTATGAGCAAGAACTTGGTGATGGTGGGAAAGAAGAACTCCCATTCAACAGGAAAAGACACTTCGGCATAACCAGGTTCAGGGAAGGTCGGCTGTTTGAGGCAAATGTTTGGGGGTCAAGGGAAAGAGGAAAAAATGAGAGAATAGCAAGACTGAGAGCAAAAGAACTTGAGCCTGTAGCAGTATAATTAAGGCATGGTTCAGTCATCAGATCCATGGGACTGGTTCACTAAGGAGACGGGTGTGCTAAGAAGTCAGAGTGAGCCACACCAGACATTAGTTACTACAATGAAAAAGTAATGTAGGCCAGTTTTTGCTGTAAAATCTGTTCTTATTTTCAGAAATCGCACTTGGTAGCTTTCTTTTATTTAAATATACAGATTTCTCAGCTTCTAATGCAGTTGTTTCTTTCTCTCTTTCAGCCTGAGGAAGAATTTCGGGATAAACTGTCCCCTATTTACATCAGACTTAATTTCAGTTTGGATCCACAGGCCCCGCTAGACCAACATGGCCTCAGACCTATCCTCAATTACGAGACAGAACAGCTCATAGAGCAGAAGGTATGTACATCATCTAATGATAGGATAATGCAAAACGCTGTGACAATACACTGTTGTATCCATCTAGAAACAGATGCAGGGATGGTAGAGTTAAACAAGCAGTTTGAAGATGTTGCCTATTATTATTATTATTATTAATAATAATAATAATAATAATAATAATAATAATGTGATTCTCGCAATTAAAAGCCGAAATGCTACAGTTTGGTGGTGCCAGTAGTGCCTGTAAAGCACAACATCAGGCATTTTAAGCAAAACAGCAAATACAAATCAAAACCTGTTTAAACCCTCTGTTGCTAATGCGAGTATTAGGAATTGGTCATTGAGATAAAGTATTTCTTCAGGTCTCATTAAACCACTTCAGAAGAAAGTGGGCAACACAAACCACATATATCTGATTGCAGCTGTGCTGTAGGGAAGTGGGTGTGTCATGCATAGGGTTAAAGTTAGTGTAATGGTGAGGGTGGTGGTGTCATGAACTTGGTTTGCAAGGCTGCAGCTGGATGCTTCTACAGCAAGCTGTGGGGCAATTTTATGGCGGATTACAGTTTCTCCATATCCTGCACTATTAAAAAGGCGAGAGGAGCCTCAGCTTACCCAAAATTATTGGTGACAATAATTTTAGTGCAGTTTCTTTGAAAACACTGGATTTTTAATGATTACTTCAGCAAAGACATTGTCTTACAATTCAACCATCTTTCTAAAATGAAACTCGTGTTGTGGTCTGGAAGTTATCTGACTGTCTGCTGGACACCTTTCCCGGACTTTCTAGCATGTGGTGTTGGTTACTAGGACCACTTCCTGAGTTAACTAGCCATTGTGCAGAGGATTGTATGTGCTCCTGCCATTAACAGCACGATACAAAAAGTATATCATTTACTTATGGATAAACAAATGCACTACCAGCACCCTCCTTCCTAATTTAACCTTACCAAAACCTTCCCAAACATGATGGTCGAGCCTCACCTGTGCACATTTATTTAAATCTTGCAATGAAAGCTTCAGTGGAGATCGTATGCTTCATGTGTGCCACATATTTACTTGCAAAGTCTGTTTTTTGCACTTTGTTTTTGTGAACATGGCATCTGTCCCACCTATTTTCTCCTCTTTTTCTGTCAGCTTTTTAGAGTGAACGACCCAAAGGAAGGATGCAAAGCAGACTGATAAGAAAAAATTAACCTTGAAGTCTGGCTTAAAAGCAAAAACACCAAATTTAGCACACAGCAGAAATCCAAGAGTTCCAGGAAAAACTGAAAGAACAAGAGGGAAGATAGACAGATGCTTAGAGGGACTATGTGTCTGTCTGTGGGGAAGGACAGAACTATATATACACACTGAGGACTAACTGGGAATTGAAAACAAGACAAAAAGTAATCAAGACAATCACAGGGGAGGAAGTTAAACTAAAAGCAAGACACACGAGACGACTAGTTATCAAGTAAATTAGGAAAAAGAACTCAGCTAAATACAGAGACAAGGAAACTATCAGTAGGAAGACATGAAGGCTAACTTAAAGAGAACAAGCAAACTATAAGTACATCACAAAACTGAAAGGCACTACAACAATAAGAATAAACAAGGCCGGGACCCAAAATAAAGGCAATGCAAGAAACTTCAAATACTAGAATAAACAAAACCCCAAACTCAGGTGTATTAACTATGGATACAAACTCAACCATGTGATGCATCCCAGGGGTTCATAACATTTCCCTTTTCTGCTGTGTCTTGGATGCATTTTTAACGTAACCCTTTGAAAACTGTCTTTGAAGTCTAAAGTCTCTGAGGATAAGAAGTGTGTGCTTCTGTAAAAGTGTAGAGTCTGTCTGTACTGTATATCACATTACCACACCAAAATCCTAGACCACACCACTTATATGGCCACACGCCGTGCTTCTTAGGGTTTAACCAGATGGTCGCCACAAATGTTACCAGATGAAGGGAGAGCAAGGGGAATGAGGATGCTCTACCAAGCAACCTAAAGTCATGTTTGTTCCATACATGGTGAAGTCACGGCTCACTCTTACTTTTCATATAGGAACATGACTTGATTGGCAAGGACAGAGGCTAGCATTTACAAATACACATAAATATCTGGCCCTTCTATAGTAGCGAAGCCCATATGGTTAGAGGTTGCGGGTCGGCACTGTTAAATCAAGAGCTGCTCTCTGGTCTCTGTTGGCAATTCCTTTGCGCGCGTTTCATATACGAAGAGTTGGAAGGTTTATGGAGGACTTGCGAGTCATGGCTCTGCAAAAACACAGAGGGGGGACTGACAGCTCCGTTTGGGCGGGGTGGTGCTCAGCTCACAGACATCTGGTTGTGGTTTGTTTATGTATGTTGCCAGTGGTCTCCTCCACCAGGCAAGAGCCAGGGCCTGCAAATGTACACATGTTTATGTGAGGTATATAAGCTGAAGTGAGTGTGTGATGTGAGTGTGTAAGTGTGCACTACATGTGCTTGTAATTGGAGTTTTGTAATATTGAGTGCACCAAACTTGTTTGAGTTCAGAATCCTTAAAGGAAAAATTACCAGGTTCATCTGTTGATCTCCCGTTTTAGCCGTCCTTTGCATAAAAGCTAAGATTTTGTTGAGTTGTATGCTTCCACTGAAGCAGATTTGTAACACGGAGTAAGATTTATTGGCCTTATGATATAATTAGATAAAGCTGCAGACTTCTTGATCAATTAGAAGTATCACTCTTCCTTTAGTTTCCAACACAGCTTTAACGAGTAAGCAACCTAAACCATGCTTACTGTATGTTAGCAAAGTCACACCTCATCAGCTGTGTTTTTCCTATGGTGGCTTTGGTTACCTGCATCAGACTGCAAGTAAATTCAGCACAGAGTTGCCCCCTGATTGCTTTTATTTTCTTTGCTCCTTTGCTGTGAAGGATGCGTAACATGATAATTTGCCCCAACATACGTCAAAGCTTTAAAAAGTACCTGATGACAGAAGACCAAGTCACAAACTTTCCTCCATAGTAAAGTAAAATGGTAAATGGCCTGTATTTATATAGCGCTTTACTAGTCCCTAAGGACCCCAAAGCACTTTACATATCCAGTCATCCACCCATTCATGCACACATTCACACACTGGTGATGGCAGCTACATTGTAGCCACAGCCACCCTGGGGCGCACTGACAGAGG